GACCTGCCACCTGCTCCACCCCATCATAAAATAAATTTGGATCCGCCAACTTTTGCTCTTCAAGGTTGTGACACGCTCTTCCCTTACACATTTTAAATGACATGACAGGATATCTGAATAGATACTTATATATAAGATGTAACACGTACTGTAAAAAGAACTTTTAACCGCTTTTAGCAAGAAGATTTAGAGTTTATGTTTTAACGTGTAAAATTTCCTATATATTGGCTATTATAGGCCTATAAGTATATAGATATGTATATACATATTATAATTAAGCATATATGTACATATGCCTATATACAGTAATGTAGAAGTCAAAGAAAAGAAATCAGTGACAGTGAATGTTGCCTAACCAAATTCGATTTCAGAAAATAAATGTTCAATCTTTTAGTATATGCGCGTTGCAGCACTAGCTCTGGGCGTACTTCGTATAACAGATACCAATCTAAAACGCCCCGTTCCAAGGAGCTGAATATATAACCCAGATTCGAGCTGTTATTAAGTAATTATATCATTTATATTTTTATTTTTTAAAATTAAAAATGCGCTTTTTATTTAAACAGTATAGAGCTTTGCACAATTTTAAATGGACAAGTTGGCTTATGTAGCCAAATATAAATATTATTCAACGTAGTCCCTTTCTGGTCTCAGTAGTGGCGCGATCGTGGGAAGAAGTTGACATGAGCCTACCGGCAACTATTTGATTAAGTCGCAAGAGTGACACAACCTTAACTATAAAGTTGCATATGCGTATGTCTACGTGTATCCGTGTTCAATAGTTCTTGTTTACAGACTTTCTATATATAATGAATGCAATTCTGGGATTTATTATTGAATAAATTAATATTAATAAGGTATTCACTTATAAATAGGATTAGCTAAGTAAATGACATTCTAGTATCAACCTATTTCAAACAGAAAACAGCTGTATAACACGCAACAGTATTTACAATATATAAATATATAACAGAAATAAAGTTAAAGTGAAAGTACTGCATAATATATATACATACTATATACAATATATATATAAAAATATATATATATATGTTTATATATTGAAAATGTAGAACTTGTAGAACTTGGTATAATCACTCTACAGACTGTTTCATGCTAATTCAATCTTCAGGAGTGAGAGAATACAAGGATTGTGTGAGTATATGAATGCTAAGGCAGGTGAAAATGCAAATGGTTTTTAAGTAAATATTTGTTGTGATTATTTATAATCACTTTCCCATTGGATTCAACATTGACTGAGGAATTGGTGAGTAGCCTTATTTCAGACTTTATGAATACAGGCCAAATCAATATCATATTGAGATGTGTATAAGAGACAGGTATATCTGTGTGTGTGCAAGAAAGATGTAAATTTATGGTGCATTTTAAAAGATAAACTCTATACCGTCTAGCGGTAATGCTGTATTTATGTATGTACAGTTTAGGCCTATGTTTTGAGTGTATCTGTAGCTTGATAGTTAAGAGGCTTGCATTAAATTCTGAAAAAAGGCAATATATTTTCTCACAATCAGAAACCACATTATAAGCCTCATTATGGAATATTGTGAACAAAATCAGATGCCTTATCATTCTTAACGGAATTTTCACTGTATATAAGACGGTGATTCAGTTCGGTATTGGCATAATTAATATGTACCTAAATGAAATAATTATATTCATTAGGCACATGATATAGGCCCCACATATCGTCGCTCACATCACAGTAGCGCGTCAAAACGAGCGCGTATTGGTTGTCAGGCAATTTTGTACTCTTTACCACACAAAAAGTCCTTAACGACAACAGCGCGTATTTTGACGCGCTTTTGAATTTAATTGTGTTAGTTCGTGATGTGAGCGACGATATTTTTAGTCTTTCTATATGATATTTTTGTAATTTCATTGTATAATGTTGCCTATTTTGATATTGCATTTTATCATATTTTTATGTAAAGGGCATTGAACATATGTAAATCTGAAAATGTGCTATATAAATGAATATATTATTATTATATGTAAAAATTATAATATATTATGTTATTTACGGTATACGATTAATTCGATTGGAATCGATAATAAACGTCAAGTTACTCAGATATCCCTCAATCAATGTCTAATTTAAACTGTGAATATTATATTACAGTAGGATTTATGCATCTGACCTACCGAAGTCCGCTCTCATAGATTTTCTTTTTATTAGGGCACGTTATTCTCGAAGTTTTTGCATATTGGTGAGATTCGATAGCGAATACGAATACGTCATTGTCGTTATCGTCATTCGTGCCTAAAATGTTCTTGACAATATGCTGTATGAGATGAATATGATCCTTGATTCATCCAAAAGGCATGAATCGTCTACTTTGTGACAAATACAGTACCGTATGCTACTGCAGGGGAAGAGTAACCGTGTTATCGTTTTCGTAGGCTGCGAAAACTCCCTATTTCTGTCATTCCCACTTACACGAGGCAATAAACTTTAGCTATGATACATTACATTCCAATATCTATTATATTGCAATCTAATATAAAATAAATGTGAAATAGACCCATGGGCAGGCTCTTATCTAAGAGTATAAAACTGCATGAGGTCCGACTGCCGGGGATTCTTTAGAACGCAATCCTATTTCAAAAAGTACTACCCAAAAGGGACGTGGCCTTTAAAAGAACGTAAAGCGCGTTCATATCGAACGCGTGCTGCGCGTCTATAGAATGTATGCTGGAATTCGAAACGCAGCACGCGTTCGATGCGAACGCCTTTTACGTTCTTATGAAGGACACGCCCCTTCGTGGAAGTACTTTTTAACGTTCATTGTCTGTATACAAAATAAGGGCAGTCGGACCTCTTGCAGTTTTATGGTCTTTGCTCTTATCTAATGTGGCTTTTTAAAATCTTGTTTGGGGTGAATACTAAAAAAAAATCTACCGTATTTGGCTACGATGAATAATGTGCACAATTTTCATTTGGAGGCGCCATGGTCAGATTAGTTTTAGACCTTTATGAAAAGATCCTAACTTACCACCGTAATTATTTATAATCACTTTCCCATTGGATTCAACATTGACTGAGGAATTGGTGAGTAGCCTTATTTCAGACTTTATGAATACAGGCCAAATCAATATCATATTGCGTTTCATACATATCCGAAACATAATAATCGAGCCAACATTAAAATCAATATCTCCCCGTACTCATTCAATATAGATACTTTATTTCAAAATTATTGTAATAACATCGGCGCCCTTTGGAAGATTTTCCCCCTAGAGATGTACATTATTAGGTGTCGACTTCAACATGTGGGAAAA